GAAAGTTAATCTTTGTGTGGTGATTACTTTCAGTTATTAAAACCAGAGTAGAGATTATATACCTGGTTGCCGTGAACTCATTAATTTCAATTCGTGATGAGTATATATTGTAAGAATAAGATCACATGCAGTGATTTTCAATTCATGAAAAAGGAATTGCCTTGTAAGGTATAGAAAAATACCAACCTGTACACTTCCAGCAGGCTGGCCGAACATACGATAGTAGAACTGAAGACACGATTTGACTTTGGTAATCTTTGGGGAGATGAATCGTGCACTTTCACTATCTTTTCTTTTGGATGACCGAGAATTTTCCATGTATAGGTACCAACCTAGTCCAACTATAAAGAAAAACACTCGGCGTAAATCTTAAAAGCTGATTTAGCTATAACTAGGTGCAAGACATTAAACTTCTGTCGTTGCGTATATGTTGGTAAAACATAAAGACCATGAAATTAACTCTTCGATAAAATGGTTTAAATGAAAAAATATAGCGAAATATAGAAAAAACACACAAAAAAATTTAGAAACGTCGCCATATTCGCAGTTCTCGTGATACTTCGAATTTGAACGAGTGAGTTTATGTCGTCGAAGGGGCTCATCTATGGTCTTCTATCATCTTTTATTTTCTACAAAGTGAATGTTCATACTCACTGGGTACAAACTTAATGAAATTTTGTAGCTGATCACAAACAGAGCTAAGCACAAGAATCTCGCCATCTACATGGTGAACTCCATTCTTCGCTGTTAGGCACATTTTTTTCTGGTACTGAAGCGATCCACTTTTTGTCCAGCTCCATTTGTCAGTTTTTGTGCAATTTCTATAAAGACCAACCTAAAGACGACATATGTTGACTAAGGCCTGGTTCAAACGTCGCTCTTCGTATGAAACAACAATAGATCAGAGCAGGGACGCCGGAAAAAGGGGGAGCCCCTTGATTACGATTTTCACTTGTTTTTATTGATTCTCATCCTATAAGTGCCCCTCAAGTCTCATTTTCGCCCCTGCCCTAACGACGTGATCCTTCAATGCAGGGTTTTCGGGTTAGAGCCATGCACCTCAACAGATTTACTATTGTTTTTAATACGTCACTGCCGCATCGTAGATTTGGCGCATCTTAAACTCGCTAATATCAAGGTAACTGGTAACATTAACTTACTTCTACTCCATCAAACACCGGCTTTATGGGCTTCACACACATGTTATGCTTAGTGTGCTTCAATACTCCTTTTAATCCTAACTCGAACTGCAATCTTTCCTCATTACAGACACGGTGTATTACAAGTCTTTGTCCATCATTTGGTTTAGTAAAACCACCGTGAGATATATGAATACATTTTCCTCCGCGGAATTGCAGTGCACCTGGTCCTTGAGTTTTGCTTTTCAGAACGCCTATATATAGAGAAATAATTTGGATGTTGAATATTCCGAAAATAAACATCTTGTAAACTCAAGATATGAGTTGTTAAAAAACAAGACTCAATATTCAAGGTGAAATTTCGACTCTATTTCAAAGTCATTTTCAAACCTAACTATTTGCTTGTAAATAGTCAGGTTTGACAATGACTTTGAAATATAGTCGAAATATCACCTTGAATATTGAGTCTTGTTTTTTAACAACTCATATCTTGAGTTTACAAGATGTTTATTTTCGAGTATGTTTTCTCTTATATTTCGCAAAATTGTCTGCTGGAAAAGGTTTTTTGAATATTCCGTTGTGAAACCCAAATATCTATGTTTAAATTTTGCTGAATCTGTACCAACTAACTCCGTTATAGTTAGTGAAAGAATTGGGCAATCATAATCATATAAACTACCAGGGTTGCCATTTTCTCATACTCTCCTCAAATGCAGGTATAACACTTACCTAAACCCATCGTATGATCTACAAATGGACCTTCATAGATTATTCCCTCGGGTACTCTTATGTGGCCTTGTTTTCTTATCCAATTTAAATGATCGCTAACATGATCTTGGCTCCATTGGCATTCGCGTTCAACCTCAAAGTTGCAAGAGTAAGTTCGATTTGCGAACGCTAAACATATAGAAATAGAGGGCGCAAATTAGCCTATAATTATCTGTTGATCACTACTGGTCTGTAAGAATCATCAACCGTTCATTATATAGGAATCTGATTTTATATGTTCTGTAATCTTTGGGAAGGGCTGCAATTCAATTGGCTAAAAAGAGTGCGACCCTAATTGCACCCTTTGCGTATTGTAATTGAATGCTCATAACAAAAAAATCAATGTAGTATATACAGCTATCACCATTCAGGATACAAAATATGAATTTTAAGTATTCCAAATTGTGCTATCCACCAAGCATTGTTGTGATAAATTATAACAATTATATTTACGTTCAATAAATTTTATCCCTTAATTACAGAAGATATATGATTATACATACGGATATGCTTTAAAAGGTATTAACTTTATTAACTAGGTATAGGTAATGCTGTATGCCAACAATACATTGTCAAAATGTCGCTTAAAAAAATACTGTCCCAATGCAGACGAGCTGACCACCGTACATACCTTGGCATTGAACGACGGAAATCGTCATTCCAAGCAGACACGCAAAAATGAGGGTGATCCGGGAGGTCTTCTGCCTTGTAACCTACATCAATTGACAACTGTTACTAACTTGTTTGATGAGTCTTCAGACTACATTTAATGGTTAAACTGACAAGCAGGTAGCCGAATATGAAACAGCAGGTTTCCTGTAGTCCAAAAAGTAAACGTTTGTTTGTTCATATGATTAAATATCACGTTATGTCACAACAAGATTGGTTATGTCATCGCCCATATACAGTCCATATACACGACATAACCGTCCACACGTATCTGTTCAGCGGTCGTTCAGTGGGCGGAAATACTGGATGCGTGTGGACAGAAACTGTAGCCGTAAAAAAACTGTAGCCGGCATCGTGTGGATTTGGCCTGATTAATGAAGAGCTATGAAAGTTTTAGACGTCGCCCACGTTCTGTTTTCAACGGCGGCAGATCTCAGATTCTCACGTCTGGTGTACAACGTCTGGACTTCAAGACTCTGCGAGCATAACTAGAGCGATAATTGGGGGGGGGGGGGGTGTTAATATTCCTATATTCAGTTCTGCCCGACGGATTTTTATTGTAAGCTATTGCACTCACAGAAGAAATCCGTCGGACAGAACTGGATATATGAATATTTATACCCCCTCCCCCAATTATCGTTCTAGTTATATAGGCTCGCTAGGGTTGCCAGATTGCTGAATAAATTAGGCAAATATTATTACCATAATCGTTGTTTTCCTTATCTCAAAGAAAGAAATCAAAGGGCTTCTTTTTCAGTAATCTGGCAACCCTGACGCTCGCTGCATGTGTCTTGAAATGGAGACGTTGTACGTCAGACGTGAGAATCTGAGATCTGCCGTTGTAAACAAAACGTGGACGAAGCATTTAACCGAAACACGCCACCCCTCGAATTATCGTTCTAGTCACGCCACTGAATTTTCAAGACACAGCGAGTGCTACTTCGTTTTGGCCCAAAAAGTTTGTTCATGAACATAAACCTATGATTGTTCAACGTCCACATGTACCTCATTAAATTGATAAGATTGATAATATTATACAATAACTCCTTTCCAACGCATTTATCTTATTCGTATACAGGGAAATATTTATACGTATAACCGTAATGTTTATTAGTTTATCCAAAAGCTTGTGTTAATGTACACTTCTTTGTTTAAGAAAAATATCGCAGCATTGCACTATGATGTAGTGTATTTAGTGATTTTGCTCACTTCGCATGCGGGGCGCTATTGTAGGTGAATTACTTGCTTAACAAACGGAGTTTTGTGAACTTAAGATAGATAAGTCTGTGCGCTGTGACATGTTTAGCCAGAAAATATTGAGCTAATATACGGGTTTGTTCTTAACTTACCAGCATAGTATACTCTAAATCCAACAGCACCGCCGCCAACAGAATGATATTGACAATAAATGGTGCTATAGCCTATAAAATAAGGTAAATATTGGCATGCATTCATAACACATCCTGTCTCGTCTTCCTTATCATATTTCTGAGTATCGGAATCAAAACAAACGAAGTGCCACTTCAGCGGGTTGCAAGGCACTTCTGCGGGCTGCAAGGAAGATTACCTTTTATAGTCTTTGAATTTTTGCCTTTATTGTACAAATATGTGGTTTACCTTGGTGAATGTTCCTTTGAAGCCTTGAGACCACTTTTGGGGGCTAGAGTCTTCCAGATAAATGGTCTGCTAGCGAAATGTTTGCATATTTTCTTTTGAAATGATAACATCAAACTAATTTATCTATTCTACAAAATTCAAAAGAAAATATGCACATATTTCGCGAGCCAACTCTTTTTCGCATGTGGGAGACAGGGTTGGTAGATAGCTGCATATTTGAGGGCAAACAACTTCACACAAGTTCTTTGTTTCCTTTGTCTTTGCCTTTTGTTTTCTTTGTTTTCTTTATAGCACTAATGACAATTTGGCCTCAAATATTTGCATATCCACCAACTCTGGTGGGAGACCCCGTTTAACCACACCGTATTCACATAGACGACAACAGTTTAACTGTTGTTCAACGGTATCTCTGTCCCCAAAACTTTTTCATTTGGCAGACATGTTGAAGAAAATGCAAATCCAGTCAAGCCGAACTATATTTTTTATTCTGTTTATTACGAAAATCACTAAACTGCAGACACTGCCGCTATGAATTTCAAACTTGATCATTCCAAATTCAAATTCGGTTAAGTCATGTGATCAAATCGGTTCATCGTTTTAGTCACATGACTTCGTGTTATTGTTGACTGTTTTTCGCCGAGAAAAAGCGCCCGTAGAATTAGGCCCTAATGTTTGCACACGTCTTGTTGTTTTAGAATAGTAAAATAGCAAATAGAGTTGAATTTCAAAGAGTTTTGAGGTAATTGAGTGAGTAACTTACTACCACTTTAGAAAATAGTTTTCTTTTTCAATTGCTTAAAATTTCCCAATATTTTAAGAGCTGCTAGTGTTACATTTTTTTAAGGAAAATTGTGATAAAGGACTCTCATTGCTCCCGAGAATTACCGACTGTTATTGAATATAGTCTGTCTTGCTATATAACGTGTGATTTGCTTGAATCTCATTACACATTATAAATAAAATAATTTTCAATCAAATATTCAAAGTCTATCAAGTGCTGAAATTACTAACACAAGTACAATAAGATCTAATCTCCAAATCCTAACCAGATCCCTATACTTTAAACTCCAAGTCAAACTCGTAATCTGAAGGCTAATTCCCTCTAACGTACTTGTGGAAATTAAGTATGGAAGTCAGCCGGAAAATTAAAATTCGTTTTTCTCAATTATACCGTCATAAAAGTACAAGGCATCTGTGCTAAAAAGTTTGCTAAAAAGTTCATTTAACCAACTTCTCATAATCATTTTCCGTTTCTCGTTTCTTCGGATCCAACGCGGTGTAACCGGCATCATTAGCTTTCGTCTTGTTTTTGGCTTTTTTATCAATTGGCGACTTGGCCAGAACGTTAACAGTCTCATAACCGTCATCATTTTGTTCTGACGTTGCTTCGTAATCTGGCGCTTCTACGTGCCAACGCGCTGGTCCCTGTTTTAATCATGCAAAAAGAAATGATATGAAGGAAGAACGGCCGAGTTGCCTTTTGGGGAGGAATTTTATGGGCACATTAACAACACTAAGTCCGTGTCATTATTGGTCCATGTATAAACTCTATTCAAACTGGAACGACAACGGAGGGATTTTAGCCGCCACCTTTGAACCTAATTTGAATCTGACTGTGGACCAGTGCCCGTCCCTTTTTATTGTTTTTGTCCCTGTGATTGCCGACCGCGCCGACATGAAGAAAGAAATGGCTGCCACTGGTCCTTAAATTCAGCTTCTTATTTTGGCTTTAATTGTGGCAATTACTGAGTTATCAGGAAAACCACCAGCAAAAATCGAAATTCCCAATTTTTGCAAGCAAACAATTAATAAAACGCGAGGTAAATTGTAATATTAAGGAAGACAAGACGTGTCCGCTTAAGTAATCATAACAATTCAGTAACCAATGCTTTATAGTCATTTTCCTTTTCTCGTTTGCGTAGACCCAACTCTGTGTAAACGCCGTCGCATGATTCAATATTCTCATCGGCTGGTACAACATCAACATATGACAAAGGCGAAAGTAAGCTTACTCTTTCGCAAGCGCCGTCTTCCACTTGGTCACTGTGTATGGGCGCGTCTTCGTAATTTTCAGTTGACATTTCAACATCTGAACGCATTGGTTCCTGTTAACCACACAAAATAAAATTATATCAGGAAAAATAGCTGCATGGTCCCTTCGAGAGAGAGGGGAAATGCGAAATTATCGTCTCTTTTGAATTGGGAACCATTAACTAACTTGTCTCAAGTATACCCTTATAACTGTTACCTGAGCAACCTCTGAATTTTCAACTTTCTCCAGTGGAATATTAACAGGAGCTACTGACTTTGGTTCAGCATTCCTGCGTTTGTATTTTACCAACACAACAATTATGACGAGGATGAGAACCAGCGCTAAACCCACGATCGAAAATATAATAACGAGTTTGCTTAAATTACGCGAACGGTCTTCGTTAACTGAAAACAAAAAGTTTTAAAGTACTGAACTTAGTTTAAAACGTATACGCCACTTTCGGTGATTGCGGCGGCATTTTGCGAAGTTGAGCACATACAACTAAAAAAATGAAATTCTCTCTGTGGTTAATTTAGGGAAAGAACAATACCAAAACTCACAAGTGTACTACACTGAACTATTAAGGGCAAAGTTACTGATCTGAAAGTGCTGGTATGTGTATAAACTAAGCATGGTTGGGCAAGAGTTTTATTCCAAATTACCACCCTAATCAAAGAAGATTGTGAATGTTTTAAAACCTTGTCTTGAAAAAATACCTGAATCTTTGAAACTCCCGCTATAATGAGCTCGAAATGAAAAGACTTGGCTTCCATTCTTTCCACGTCTCCCAAAATTTGCCACAACATACACAGCGTTTCCAGCTGATGTGATGTTGACGACTTCCGTGCTTGCATTTGATCGTGAGTCACAATATGTACCAAATAATGGGGCTTCCTTGTTGGCACCATCGTAAATTCTTAGAAATGTATCGTCGCCTTCACTCTTTCCATATATTCTAGAATTTGCGACGATGTATAAAAGTTTTGTTGATGACGTAATCTTGATCGATGTGCTTGCATTTGATCCACAATATGTACCCAACAATGGGGCTTTCCTGTTAGCACCATCGTAGATTCTTAGAAATGTATCATCACAGCTGGGTATAGCAATTTCACTGAAACTCAAAGAAACAACGGGTGTTGCAGGAATCGTGATTAGCCACGAGCAGTATTGCGAATAACGATTCATTTTGCTGACTGGTACTGGAGGATTTGGTCTAAACGAACCGCTGGAAACAGTTGTACGACGGGCATCTGGAATGCAGTATACGTAGATCGATATCTATTACTAGAAATACATGCATGCCAAGTCCCCTCCCCTGGAGCAATAAACATATATTTCTATCACTGAAATTCTATAATACTAGTTTCTGCTCAATGATCGATGTCGTAAAGTAAACTCCTAGATCTTTTACATTATATTTTAATCAATTTTACGAGTCAATTTTTCGTATATTTTAACACCATCCAAATGAAAAATATCATTTTAAAAAAGTTTATATTTCAAAATATCAGTTATGCTGACGTGAACCCAAACTTTAATTTAGCCAATCGCACGTTTGTGAACGTTTGCTAGTTACCAGTTTTAACTCGTCTTAAAATCGCGCACGCGCATTACTTACAAAAACGCCAAAGTCCATGATATAATGGCGTAAATAAAATCTCCAGGCGGAATTAGTACCCTCGCCCGATGTTTCGCACAGGCCTCGGCGATAAAATAGTCAATTGCAAGGCTATGAACAATTAATGCTCTTATAGCTTTGCTAATTCAAAGTTTTCCTAATAATGAGCTGAACATTTGAATTCGGGCACTTCCAGCTATAGACTAAATTGATATTTAGGCACAATGACAGTAGAAATCTACAATTACTAAAGACATCAATTCGACTTTCGATATCAAATGTACACCCACAAATTTCTTTTTTCGTTGAAACTAACCATTCTCGAACTATCCACCCAAACTACGAGTTACCAAGTTTTGAGTGTCAAAAAACTTGCTTTTGTTCATTTTTGTTTTATCGTTACTGCTGTTTTCCGGCTACCATGCGACGTGCTAAACTTTTCATGTCTGTTTACGTTTCAAAAATTCGGGTTTGACCGGAAATCGTTGACGTTTTAAATAGACCAATCAACGTTTGACCTTGAAACGAGCAACGTTTCGCAAAGCCTTGCCAAAACGTTGATTGGTCTATTTAGAAACGTCAACGATTTCCGCTCAAACCCGAATTTTTGAAACGTAAACAAACATGAAAAATTTAGCACGTCTCATGGTGGCTTGCAAACAGCAGTAAATACTGTAGTGCATGAGGCAGGCGGTCAGTCATTCCCTCACTCAGACAATGTGTATATAGCAGAAAACAGTTGGGCAGATGAGTGAACCTAAATCGACAATCTGATAGGGAAGAGGGACTATGAACGTTTTAAATGAAATGGGATAACTATTGATCAAAGATATTAAAGTTTCACACAATTTCGAATCACAGATTGTGAAGCGTCATGAAACATCTTCATGCATGAAAGCATGCGGCATACCTAAATCTTTTAAACTCCCGCTGTAATAATGGGCTTGAAAAGAAAACGTTCGTTTTCCAATCCTTCCTGAATTTGCTACGACGTATAAACTATTTGTTGATGAGGAAATTTGGACTTGTTTGCTTGCATTTGGTCCACAATATGTACCCAGCAATGGGGCTTTCTCGTTAGCACCATCGTAGATTCTTAGAAATGTATCATCACAGCTGGGTATAATCATTTCACTGAAACTCAAGGAGGCAACGGATGTTTCAGGAGTGGTAATTAGCCACGAGCAGTATTGAGAACGAGTAGCATTTCTGCTCTCTGGTGCTTGATAAGATCTGAACGAGCCGCTAGGAGCATTTGTCATCCTGCGACGGCAACCTGGGAGAATGAAATGTTAATGATTCCAGTTATTTCAGATCGCAGGCTAAATTCTCATTTAAGCAAGAAGAGTGAAATCCGACACCACAGCTAGGAATAGCAAATGAAAGACTGCAAAGTTTAGAAATATCGTAAGAAAAAAGTTGTAAACTTTGACAAAAAAGTGTAAAATGAATAACCTTTACTATAGTACAAGCATGCTAAATATCCGCAGGAGCTGGTTTAATTATCACGTACCTTCATAGTAACAATAGAATACTTTCCTTCGAAATTTAATGAAAACATGTTCTCCTGATTCGTAGTCTTTGTCACGTTGATAATTTTTAACGAAATTAATATACTCCAAGCGATTGACTGCCCATTTGACCATCTGACATCTTGGAGCGTTATGTTCAACAGAGTTGGATGTCAATAAATAAAACGGTCGATTCACTGGCAGCTCAATGGAATCATACCAATTACCATTAGTCTGGCAACAGTAATAGATTTTGGTATTCTCATTATATACACCTTGGGGCAGCGATCCTCCTCTTTTATTTTGGTTACGATAATCTTCATCATCCCAATACACCCAACCGGACAACATATTTTTCGGACACGCTCCAACCCCACTCTTATAAATACAATATTCACCTGTTGGTAGGGAAAACATGTACGCAAAGCCTGATTGATTCATTAAAATATTTAAAAATGGAGGAACAGTTACCGCACAAGTTATTTGAATTGAAGGTTTAATTCCCTGATGCATGCGCTAAATGTTAAAGAAAAAGGCTCACTACAGACTTTTAGGAAATAAATCCTACCATTAGGCCAGGAATCTGTTCCTACTCCACTTGAACTTTGTTTCATACAGAAAGTCCTGTTTATATCTCTCTCTTCTCCAATAATTTGGTTGTCAAAATGTGAATCATCGGACAGTCCGGGACGCGAAACTGACGGACTATTATCTTCCATGTCCTGAAACCTCCATCCTACACTCCATACACTCGTTTTACTAATTGGGCATCCTGACTTGGGTTTGGGAAGACCATAGCTTCCACTTGGCCAATCAACATCTTAAGACAAGGCGGATGAATTAGTTGGAAGAGTTTCGCAATTGTATATTGACTGTATTCGTGGGGATAACATGAAATTAAATATTTTTTACAAGAAAATTTGCCTTCGTCTTTGAAACACAAAAGACATATTGAACAATTTCAGATTTTTATTCGGAACTGAGAATATGCATTGGGTGCGCGGATCGAAATATGGAACGTATGTACATGCATGCCTCCTGATTAGTGCATCAAAAACAATAGTCGAATTGTGTTATTATCGCTTTTCACAATCATACAACCAACCTCAATATATTCCTGACCTCTCCTGTATCAAACTTTTAACAAAGTTAAAACAATTAATTCACAATTACTTTATTATATAGCAAAACCCATGTCAGTCAAAACACTTATAAGGGGCTGATTACATGGTGTCTTTTCATCCCGGGCTGAGTTTCAGCCCAGCAAACCCGGGCCAAAGTATTTTTCAATTACATGGCAGGTTTTAGCCCAGGCTGTGTTATGACACGTCAGAATTATTTTAAGACCATGCAGGGCTGAAAGACCAGCGCTGAAGTTTTTAAAGGCTGGTAGTAGACCTATTTCGATTCTTCGAGCGCTTTAAAATCCCGAATGACAATAACTTAATCTTTAAGGGACTATGACTACACATATCAATGAAATAAACAAACGAAAAAGCATTGTCAAGGCGAATTTTTCAGTCTGGGTTTAAGTTCATTTACGATTACATGACAACAACATTAACGTCTGTATTCAAAAAGCTCACTCACACTCATACTCATCGAGTGTGACATGTAAATTTCGTTAATGCTGATCAATGAGAAAGTTTTTTCTGAATAGATGGAAAGATATAAGGTAAATCACTGAAAATCAAGCCCCTGTTCGGCTGGAAATACTGCCATTGAAACGTTATGAGAAGATTAAGATCTCCCACTCAATGAGTTTGAGTGTGAGTGAGCTTTTAGAATACAGGCGTAAGTTTCAGCCCGGGCTACAATCAGCCCGGGTAACTCAACCCGGGCTGAAATTCTTGTCATGTAATCGCGTGCGCGATTTTGTTACGATTTTATAACAACCCCGGTTAGCCAGGCTGAAACTCAGCCCGGGCTGAAAACACTCCATGTAATCAGCCCCTAATTTTTGATTAAAACATTCCTCAGTTAGCTAAACTATACCTTGACCTTGGCTGAATGAAAGGGCTATTCCAAAAATCCAGAGTAAAATTTGACTGATTCGTTGAAAACTTCCTTTGGTAAGCTATGATATTGAAAGGAGGAAGTCAAGGACGATTCACATGAAATTCAGGACAGGGGCAGGTTTCTCATAACTCTTGCAATTAAATTTTAACTGTTTTATTTTCGCATTTCTGTTTGATCATTTATTTCATTCAAAACTGAATAAAACCGCCGATCTTTGTCTTTGAAAAGACTTCCGGAATAACATATTTAAGTGTCTACACAGGAAGTTGAAAATTTGGCTTGAGAATTGGCATTAACCCCAGATCAAGCAACACTATACAAAGTTGCAACTGCATGATAACCTTGTTTGTTCGGACTGTATACGACTTGACTTCCGGAAAAATGAACTGACTATCGACTACAATATTCGTCAATATATGGTTCACTTCTCCTATATGAATCCTACGGATGAGAAAGTCGAGCTCGTCGCCGCTATGATTGAAACAGCTTTCGTTTGCTAACGGGTTGTTAACGAACGTCGAGTAGTCGCGTTTTAATGGGCCGGCTTACTTTTGATGACGTGCGTCGATATAACTTTTGTTAATCGGCGACAAGAAAAACCGCTCTCTGTAAAATTCTAACATCAGTTGAACTCCAGACTATAAAACCTCTTACCTTGCACATGCCGGAGTTATGGTGTCCACCTCGGTGTATCCTGGACACTGCACTGCAAAGAAAATCGATCACCAACGGCTTCTTGTTTAAAACAGTTTAAAAGGTGGCGTCAGGTAAATAGAAACTGAGAATTTTATCGTGGTTTTGTAGACAAGGTGCGTGGCTGATATGTGCCAAACAATCCCTTCCACTCGGAAATGACTTGAATCGTTGAATGTGATGACATATGTAAAAACCGCATGATATGAGGGAGTCAAAAGGGTCTATGCATATCTTAACATTGATCTTAGCATATAATTAAACATAATATATTCCGCGGTTGCACTCAGGCCCTTGTCAAGTAGCTACAAGGACCCCGCAGTGAAAGAACCACCTCTCTAGCACAGTCTTCACATATTTAAGGAGGAAGGAGTCCCTAGTAGCAAAATTGGGACAGATTCGGCATTTATACACCCTACTTTATCTACCAACTACAAAAATGCGGCGATTTCATTAAACATTATATGACAGAGCAATGCGCTGTTTTATGAGTGCAACGGTACTGTAATATAAACACAGCTTTCCAGGTCGTTTACAGTATATTCTTGTTAAATGATTGAGACTTCTGCTAATACTCAGTGTCTGTACACTCCTTTGTCTAAGTCACGTAGCTAGGCGCCGGCTGTTTAAAAAGCGGAAGAAGTTCTCTGCTGGTTAGTGATATTTTAAACCGTTATGAAAATGTTTTAAAAAGCTACATAAAATTTATATTACACTTATTACTATCATTATTATTATTCATTAGTTTTATTGATCGTTTTCATGGACCTGTATACTAAAATGTAATACAGATTTGTAGAGGAATAGGATTATATAACTACAGGCATTTGGCGCGCTCAGGCAAGTACATGATTCAGAATTGTTTAACTTGTTAACTTCAGGGGCATTTACCATGACATAGTGGACCTCTTTTTCTTGTTAAATTTGCCTTTCTGTCACTGTGGCAAACTTGTGGCTGACTTTAACATCATTCTTGATTCTTTAAATATTCAAAGCCACAACTGAATGCAACTTGCTTGGTACGCGCTTAGCCAGTTAGTCTTATAATACTTACTTTAGCCCTGTGATCAAAATTCCTTAAAGAATTCCCTGAAACTGATTATGCATGTTAGCTAGAATAATTGAGGCCCGTTTCAGACGTCGAACTTTCATGTACCGAACCTATAATGTTAATGAGCTAAAGTCTTTCTTTTAGTTCATTTGCATTCGATTAACGGCACATGAACAGTTCGACGAAATGCAGCATTAAATCAGCATTACTTCGTTTTCCTCAAGGAGATGATAAACGCGTCTTCGACTCAGTCCATCCGAGTTGAACCAACTTTTGATAATAATTTTCCGAATCTCGTTCGCAGGCATCCAGCTGCGTGTAAACAGGCAAGTTTGTTTCGGAGGAAATGACGTAAAAATCTTCGTATGGTCCAGTGTTCTCATCTACTGGTACAGTATATTATGACGGTTCTGGCTGAAGGGGGATCACGTATAAGCGCTATAATTTTCAGTTGAAGTTAAATTTTCAGTTGAAGTTAAATCTTCTGGCGACGTTTGGTTATGGGTTTCAGATACTATTTCATCATCTGAAGGTATTGGTTTCTGTTAACCACGAAAAATGGCATTATCAAATAGAATAGCTGATCTTTTGAGTTTTGAGGATAATTTTATCCGCATGTGAAATATTTCGTTTGTTTCATTCGATTTGTAACCATTAAACCTAATCACTTTTAATCGTCTTCCCGAATTACATAAAAGACTAGCTCAGTTTCAATATTGCATAAAGCATAGTTTCCATTTTGCCAGACCATATCTTTATTTACTGACAGTTTGACAATGACCAATATACTTGCATGGAGAACAATCGAAATTATCATAAACATTCAAATTGCCTCTCGCATCTGATTGGTCGAGAACCCGTTTACATTCCCGATTAAGTTTAATATTATATTGGCTTTTGTGGCGCTATGGTAAAGGAAAACAGGAAATAGTTATCGTGATGATGTAAGGAAAAACGTGACTTCTCTTATAATCGTAAATTCGAACGACAATGACAAAAATATATAAACCTCTCGAGAAAATTTATATTGAAGTAAATTTATATTAAATAAAATAAATAATTGGGGTAAAATAACCGGATAATAAAAATCATTGGATATTAAAAAAACATTCATTTATTATCTGTAGTTTTGAGAATGCCTGACTGATGCAATTATGCCTGTTTACTCAGAGTTTTCAACTCTTACTCTCGTCCATCTTATTGAAAGGAAGTCGCATTGAGTAAACATTCCCTGTGAACTGGTCTTGAAGAATTAGATTGACATCAATGCACCGCTAACACATACAGCAAACTAATCCTATTTTACCTAACTGTATATATCTATAAATCTTAGCTACATGCATGCGACAATCTACATAATTCACATTTTAATTCATGCTATACTAAATCATAACAGCCTAGCAAGATGGTTAGTAAATTGAAAAAAAAACTGAGTTGATAATGAAGGGTTTCCTAAAAGACTTCGATCTATGCATGGGATACGTTTAAATATATTATTGAAAATTATTGGCATAACGTTAAGGAGAGTATTGGTATGGAAAAAACGATGAACAGCCGACACTTCAAAAAGGTAAAGAAACAAAAAAATTTAAAAAAGAGAAGATACCTTAAAAGTTAGCTAATATATGATTCAAGGTAGAGACTGTAATTTCTTGACTTTATTTCAAAGTCACCTTTAGACAGAGGTCTGTCTTGATATTGCTAGCATGAAGTCCTCTCACTAAAAAAAAGGGTAGAAATCGAGTTGCTAATGGTTAATTGCTGCCGGCCCGGAAACCTTGAGTCGAAAGCCGACACGAAAATTTTGAAAAATATAATAATCTAAAAAACTGATAAACTGAAACTACCACATTTGTTATAAAAAAGGTATGGGAACTAGCTGCGATATTTGTTGTATTGCTCTTTTCCAGCCTTATTCATCTTGGCAGTAGAAGGTGAAGGCTGGGAACCCCTTAAATTCTTCCGAAAAGACCCTGCATAGCCTTTTTCGAAAACAGCGAATTCAATGTGATATTTTTTATCAGTAATACAATACGTCTCATAAATAAAGGTTTAATTACAAATTATCTTTATATCAGCAAATAAAATAAAAGTAAAATATCGCTTCGCGCGAAAATGACGCGTTTTTTTACGCGAGTACAACGCCGGGAAATTTTGATTGCTTTTAAATTTTCATTTTTAAATCAACAAATGCATACTAAAATACATATTTTTTACAAACTACATATTTTTTTTACATTTTTCAGGAAAAGCCAATGATAATGCCCACATTTTTAATACTTCGTGTAAAATGGTAAATAATGTACCTTTTTACCGGAAGCAGTAAAAATTTATGCATTCTGATTGGGTTACTGAAAATTTAAAGAAACTTGCTGATTGGTTAAAAAAGAAATCCCCCCTGTTGGCAGTAGCATAACCAGCCTGATAATTTGTGCCGGAATCGTAATATTTCGGTGTTCAATGACTGTGAAAACGATAAATTACTTAATACATGAATACTTTATATTACTTTGAAATTTACATGGCGAGACAAAATCGTCAGGCTGGCTGCCCCACTATAGCATACTCTGTATAGACTCAGTGGCCTGACGATTTAGTCATGGTATGCAAATTTTATGTTATTATCATTATTCATTTCTTTAGAAATTCATTGTTTTCATAGTACGATGAACACTAAAATATTAGCATAGCATGACTAAATTGTCGGGCTGGCTACGCCACTGTATAGACTTACTTCCACTCCATCAATCAATGGCCCTTTTGGCTTCACACACATGTTATGCTCAGTGTGTAACAATATTCCGTCTGATCGTAACTCGAACTTCAATCTTTCCTCATTACAGCCACGGTGTATTACAAGTCTTTGTCCATCATTTGGTTTAGTATGACCACCGTGAAATATATGAATACACTTTCCTCCACGGAATTGTAGTGCCCCTGGTCCTTGACTTTTGTTTTTCAGAACGCCTATAACTATAAGTGAAAAAATCTGAGTGTTGAATGTTCCGTTCCGAAATCCGAATATCTATGTGCAAAGTAACTAACAAACTAACCACCATTATTTCACAAAATTAGCCGATCATAACCTGGTTTTTCTATGTTAACTACAAGAGGTGCAACTTTCTGTTATTCTCTTCAAATGCAGGCACAACACTTACCTAAACCCTTCGTATGATCAACAAATGGACCGTCATAAATGATTCCCTGAGATCCTCTTATATGGCCTTGTTTTCTTGACAAAGTTATATCATCACTGGCTTCATCTTGAAGGCTCCATTGGCATTCGTCCTCAACCTCAAAGTTGCAAGAGTAAGTGCAATTTGCCAACGCTATAAATATATAGAAATGGAGGGCGAAAATTAGCCTATAATTATCTGTTGATCAGCGTCGATTCTGCAAGATTCATCAACCTATTTGAATTGCAACGTCATCTAAAAAATACTGTTCCCATCCAGACGATTAACTGACCAGCGTACATACCTTGGCATTGAACGACGGAAATCGCCATTCCAAGTAGTCGACATGCAAAAATGAGGGTGATACTGGATGTCTTCTATGAAACAGGTAGTTCCTGTAGTTCATTTTCATCGTAGTTTCTTTACATTAGTTATTTTTTTTTAATCTTCTTCTAATCAGCTTACAACGATTTCTGCGCATTTGTTCTGCTCATAACATTGGGGGACTCCATAATTTAGAAATTGCCCAAACATCGTATATTTTGCATTTCTTTAAGCATAAACTCTCTCAGCTCATTTATTTAGAAACATATTAACTAAAATAGTTCTTAAATTTACAGCGACATAGCCGTCTACGGCACTTTTCAGCTGTCGTTCAGTGGACGAAAACCGTAGCCGTAAAAAAAATTCGGCATCGTCTGGTTTACAGCGTCTGCATTTCAAGATACAGCGAGCCCTACTTTGTTTAGGCTCAAAAATTTGTTCCTATATAAAGCTATGATGTTTTCAACGTCTCATAAATTCGTACGATTGATGATGATTATACAATAACCCCGTACTAAAAGATTAATTTGTAGGAAAAAACGTTTTATAGGATTATATTTTTCGTAACCATAATCTTTATCCAAGCGCTTGCCTTCATATACACCTCTTCCGGTTTAGCCGTCGCACACGAGAGCTATCAGCTGAGAAAACGACCTCGCGAGGCAGTTAGCTCAGCCTGAAAACTATATGCACACGTGAGAAACTTCCCTCTCGAGGTGAATTCCTCACCAAATCTATCCGCACACGAGAGTAACTTGCTGAGCTTACAGCCTCCTGAGGGTTTTAACTTAGCTAATAGTGAGTTTAAGATTCGCCAAATCTAATTACAGTCTGCGGAGCGCTATTGTGGGTGAATTACTTGTTTAACGAGCGGAAATGATACGTTTTGAAGAAAAATATTGAGCTAATAATTATTATGTACGGGTTTGTTCTTAACTTACCACCATAGTATACTCCAAATCGAACAGCATCACCGCCAACAGCATGATATTGATAATAAATGGTGCTGTATAATATAAGATAAATATTGGCATTCATGCATTCATAACAGACCCTATCACGTCTTTCTTGTCGTGTTTCCGAGTATCGGAAACGAAATAAACGATTGTGTCACTTCTGCGGGCTGAAAGGAAAGATTACCTTTGGTAATGTTCGAGCTTTTGCACTTTGTTGAACGATTGTTCTTTATTTGCGAATGTGTAGATTTACCACGTTGAATGTCCCTTTAAAGCTTTTGGGGGCTGGAGTCTTTTCCACTAGGCGGAATATATTTCGACCAAACGAAATATTTGCATTGAAATGAGAACAGTCAAGCCGAACTATTTATTAATTCTGTGAAAATTCAAATGAAATATGCAAAATAGATGTGCACCATACCGGATTCCCATGGTAGCAACATCATTTTTTAAGTTGTTTAACTTCTGTGTCTCCAGAACTTTTTCGTTTGGCTGATCATGTTGAAGCAAACATGCTATCTTAATTTTGGGGTTAAAACTCGCTTTGAAATAGTAAATTTTTATGTTCGTGATAATACAAGTGTGGTGTACATGCATGGTGTCCGGCAAAAAAGTCCCCTCTATTGAAATCAAGCCTTTGAAGTTCCCTGTATTGAAATCCACTGTCGCGTTTTTTTATGTGCGGAAAAATTTAAATGCTTCCAAATTGTTATTATTTAACGAATTGGTCAACAAATGCATACTAAAATATGCGGAACACTAGCTTTTTCAAATATGACATTATTATATAAGAATTTGGACTTGCGTGCGTGCGTGAGTGTACATACGTATATATAAAAAAAACGCGACAGTGGAGAGCAGCTCTTAGACTTGATGTCAGTGTCGTAGCCAGCCTGACGATTTTGTCCCGCTATGTAAACTTCGAGTTATTATAATTATTCATGATTGTCTTTAGAAATCCATTGTTTTTACAGTCAGTGTCAGTGAACACGAAAGCATTAGCATAGCGGGACAAATCGATAGGCTGGCTACGCTACTGCTTGATATTATTATGTGGAGCTTCAGTACGATCGAGAAAAGGAAATGATTATAGTGTTCGAGTTAAATAGAAGTGAATGTAAACAAGCAGGCTTGTCGTTTTGAACAAATCGGCAAAATTGATTACATTTTTCAGGCTACCTAATCAGAATGCTGAAATTTTTACAAATTCGTGTGAAAATAGCCGAATTCATAAATTATTAGAGATGGGACACTCGTCTAATGTGAATTCGGTCACAGACTAAATTCGGTCACAGAATTCGGTCTAAAGAGACGGGTAAGTTGGACGGTTATCTCGTCTGGACGAGAAACTTGTCTTAAATTCGCATTTAAACGGATAAATGAAACGAGTTTCTGAAATATAAACACGGTCAAGGACGGAATAAGGCTAAGAGAAAACAACCAAAATTTTTATCATAATAATGACGATACCTTTTTTAGCATTACCCGACCCATCACACGTATAAATTTATCCATTCCTATTCATATTTATAGACTGGTTTTTACCATCGACTTTCCTGTTTCGATGAGTTTCCCGTCTCTAATATGAATTCGGCTAATCAGCTAATGTTCATTCATGCAATCTGGTTGGGGTTTTAAAAATATAAACAAATTTGTTGATTGGTTCAAAAAAATTCCTCTTTGTTAGTGAATGTACGTAGTATTTCCGTATTGTTAGCAATCTCCCCTTGTTGATTAAAGGTTTGTCAAGTTCCAAACGTAAATCATTTACTCTCACTGTCATATACGGCTAAGCATTTGAGAAAATGTGGAAATATTGCAAATGACATGCACATGACAAAAATGGCATTGCAATTACAAACTCCGTAAAATTCAACATTTTGAAGGTCCTCATAAGGTTCCTATTTTATAACACTTCATATTGTCTTAACTATACTTATCTTGAGAAAAAACTGTAACAATAGTAGTTTACCTCAGTAACCTTCGGCGAACTTTTTCCATATATATATATATATATTATATATATATTATATATAATATTATATATATTATATTATATATATATATATATATATATATATATAAACATAAATTATACGACACTTCAATTTTCTAAGTTGTGTGCAACTAGCTGCATGCACTATATTCCGCTATAAAACGGCTACGTTAACGTGTGTTAATCGTTCTGAAATGTGCATTTGATTGTCATGAAAGGTATCATAAATCGAAACATCCGACTTATTCTAAAAATGGAAATCTAGAACTAGAAGTGACATTAAGGAAAATCATTTCCTTGTAAAAAAAATTGACATAATTTATTCTATGATCTCTTGGAACGTATGAATATGTTATCTTGCATTCTTCAACTTCCCCATTTGTCATGCATGGCTTGTGCTACTTAAGAGTTTTGACCATTTTGATACATCGTGATATCCTCGTACGTCACATCGACCTCCACAGCTGCTCCGGGCTCCTGGTAACTGCCATCATCTGTTCCATCTCCGAGTTCATCGAGCTGATCATAACCAAAATTTAAAACATTTTCATGCGTGTTTGTCTCATTTTCGACCGGTATAACATACAACTCGATGTTTTCTATGACTTGCCCCTGTTTTAATATTGTAGAATTGTATTTATCATTCGAAACGATTGAAACGTGGCAATGAAAGAGGGAAAGGTAAAACTATGGGGCTGCAACCAAGTAAAAAATGTAACAATAGTAGTTTACCTCAATAACTCTCGATGGTTCTTGTGAGCTTTCGTCCACCGTTAGTGAAATGTTGCCCGGGTCCGGAGTTGATAACTTTGGCTTTTGATTTTGTCGTCTGCACTTTACCAGCACAAAGATATTGATTACCACGAACAAAAGTATTACGCATGTATTCGCTGCTATGAAAATGGGGATTTTATCCGAAGTATTTGCTTTACCGTCGGCTTAAAAGGAATAACAATAGAGAAAATAAGATAATGTTTCTTTTTTTCTTCCTACTTCGTAGGAATAATAGTTCATTCTTCCTCCCTAAAAGTATAACTACAGGAAAATCTAACAATTTACATTAATACTTATAAAATAAATATAAGAGTCATATAACTGAGTTCATCTAAATGATAGGTTTCCCAAAAACTGGTAGCCAAACTTCCTAAGAAATGCACTTATAACTCTCCAAGAAAAACCTTCGATGCTGTTAACATGATTCCGGTAGGCCGAAACTATGATTTTGAGGTATTGAATTGGGTGCCCAATTTCCATGCACTTGAAGGAGAAGTTGGAATTTGTAGCTTAACTCAGCTATGTGTTCACACAAATCTAAGTCAGGAAATTCGTCATGAAAAACTTGTCAAGTAGGTCAATCATCTCCATGCAAATATTTCTTTTCAAATTTAAAACCGTTCTGAAAGCAATTTTAGAATAATTAATATAGGATTTAACCAACTTAAAACTTACTGCTATGTAAAAAAATGATAATAATGATAAAATGGCGGTCAAATAAACGTGCATATACAGATAAAGTTAACGCGGGCTGAAATATGAGACCAACTAGCTACTTCATATAATAAAAGTTCACTAGGTACGAAAAATATTGATAGACCTAATATAATTAATGGTTAATCAACCTAAATAATCACGGCATGTAAAAGTTTGACTTCGATAATATTTACATACCTGGTTGTAATGGTTCACTGCATGAATCCCTCACAGAAATATCATCAATGGCAATATTCCCCACGTCATTGACACCACGTACACCCTCGATAACGTACTTTGTAAATTGTAAATTGAAAATAAAAGTAAATTGTTATTTTTGGACCCAATTAATCTTATATTTCGAGGAGCCTAAACACTGACCTGATACGGAGTCGTTTGGTTGTTTACAGCGACCTGTGCTCGATGCCAGTCCCTGCAGCGGGGACCATAGAAACTCTTCAAGGGGAATCCCATGCTACCTTCAGACAACACGTACACCTAGAGTTTTGAAGAGCATATATACAGGGGGGGGGGTCAAAATTCGGAGTCCAGTTGATAATTTTCTTAATTTACAATGAATGATATTTTGTGAGATGGAAATTGGATATGTTGATCAAAACTTGCGAGCATGTTATGCCTCCCATATGTTTTCTCGTTAATTCTCGTGGTATTTAAGTTGTACAAGAAATGCGGATTATTTTTTTTTTGGAACCAAAGATCGCAAAACTGCAAAAGAGCAGTGGCGAATCTAAGCATGTACAGAATAAATTACTACAGCTTAAAATCGGAATCGCTTTGGCAAATTTTAATGTAAAAATATTCTTTACAAATCTATAACCAATAGCGTTGTTATTACTTATTAAGGTGTTTTCAATTTAAAATTAAGCCGTGTAATTTATTCTGCACACCCCTAGATCCGCCACTGGAAAAGAGGTTAGCAAAGAAAAGAGAAGCCAGATAATCGAAATCAACAATCAAGGGATGTCTCAGCGAAAAGTTGAGGTGAAGTTACATGTATCAAAGGGAAACCTGGTTCACTCCATGCCGGAGAGAGTCAAAGTTGTTTTGAGACGTAACTTAAAGAGGTCATACAAAATGTTAGAACAGCGCTAATTTGTGTTAAAACTTTAAACATATAACGTGATTGAATTATTTGAATACACATGAAATGCTGTCGTTATATCAATATGACAAAAATCATATCAACTGGACTAGAACTGTTGACCTCCAATGAATTTTAATATATAAGTTAAAATTTACCTGATGAGTATGTATTGTATGAATAAAATCTTATGAATTGAATCAAATTTATTCTTATCTGCGTCTCATTATATCGAGCACTCTTCTCTACTACTTATGATTCTAAACACATATGATGATATGACCACATATTCTAAACAGAATGATTTTTTATTTAATGAAAAAATAATGATAAGGTATAGAAAAATACTCACCTGTAAACTTCCAGCAGGCTGGCCGAACATGCGATAGTAGAATTGAAGACACGATTTGACTTTAGTAACGTTTGGGGAGATGAATCGTGCTGTTTCGCTACCTTTTTTTTTGGATGGCTTAGAACTTTCCATGTATAGATACCAACCTAACCCAACTGTTAGGAAAAACATTAGATGTAAATCTTGAAGGCTGCTATATATTCAGGTGCAAGTGTGAAAAAGACAATTTTTGTCGTGCAGTACTATGCAAGTCCGTGCAGCTTACTTTTCAATAATATGGTTTAAATAAAAAAAACGAAATATAGAAAATTAAAAACATCAAAAAAATATTTAGTCAGTTTAATTGTTAAAATTTGAAGAAGTCAGTTTACGTCATCTAGGCCCATCTAGCCTCCTAACATCCATCTATTATTTTTGACATAATGTTCATACTCACTGGGTTCAAACTTAATGAAATTTTGTAGCTGATCACAAACAGAACTAAGCACAAGATTCTCGCCATCCACAGCGTGCACTCCGTTCTTCGCTGTCAGACACATGCCTTTCTTGAACTGAAGCGATCCACTTTTTGTCCAGCTCCATGTGTCAGTTTGTGTGCAGTTTCTATAAACACCAACCTAAAGACGACATATGTTGACTAAGGCCTGGTTCAAACGTCACTCTTCGTATGAAACAACAATATATTCGAGCCGGGTCGCCGGACAAGAAAGAGAAGGGGAAGGAGCGCGAGGGGGTATTCGCTCCCTTGCCCTTTAATTAGTTGACTTTCACTTGTTCTTATTAATTTTCACCTTATAAGTGCCCTTCAAGTCTCTTTTTCGCCCCCACCCTGACAACGTGATCCTCCCAGGGTCCCTAGATTAGAGCCCTAGCTCAACTGATTTACTATTATCTTAAATACGTCGCTTCCGCGTCTTAGTTTAATTTGGTTCATCTCAAACTCCCTCATATCTTGAGAGACAGGGAAACACAAACTTACTTTCACTCCATCAATCACCGTCCCTTTGGGCTTCACACACATTTTATATTTAGTATGCATCAATATTCCGTTTGATCGTAACTCGAACTTCAATATTTCCTCATTACAGACACGCTGTATTACAAGTGTTTTTCCATCATTTGGTACCGTAGAACCACCTCCATACATATGAATACATTTCCCTCCACGGAATTGCAGTGCACCTGGTCCTTGACTTTCGTTTTTCAGAACGCCTATATAGAGAAAAAATGTGAATGTTGAATATTCCGTTCTGAAATCAGAATATTTATGTCTATAAAAGTCCGCTGATTCTGTAACAGCTAACTAACTCCGTGTCTCCGACTAACTATAGTTAGTGAAAGAATTGGGCAATGATAATTTTGCAATTGTTTTTCTATGTTAACTACAAGGGTTACCATGCACCTTCTCTTTCTCTCCTCAAATGCAGGTAAAACACTTACCTAAACCCTTCGTATGATCTACAAATGGACCTTCAAATTGTTTGATTCCCCGAGAGCCTTTTATGTCGCCTTGTTTTCTTAGCCAATTCAAATCATCGGGATCTTGGCTCCATTGGCATTCGCTCTTAATCTCAAAATTGCAAGAGTAATTGCCATTTGCCAACGCTAAACATATAGAAATATTTTGCTGATCAGCGTCAATTCTCTAATATTGACAAACCGTTCATTATATATATACATACATATATATATATATATATATATATATATATATATATATATATATATATATATATATATACTGTTTAGGCAACCAGTTGAAAACATGTTTACTTGGAGTTGTATCTGGTTTAAAACAATTTATTAAAAAGATTCTAGATTAAAAAGTACTAAATTTTCGGTAGCTAACTGCTACCTTCATCAGAGTTCTAATGTTCAAGCAGTATAGACAGACTATTATATAGTGTCACTATCCTTGCATGATTGAATAATTGGTATGTAAATTTGAGGAAAATGTTTATGCTCATTCACTGATCTTTTGTCCAAAACCGAGTGCAATGACTCAAGGAAGAGTCTTTTGTTTGTGTTATGCACTTTCTTTTCCAAAATCCTAGCATTCTCCATTGACACTTCATGACCGGTACTTTCTGCATGGTCTTTAATCGCTGACTTAATCTCTCGTCGTACGCCAGGTTTATGCTCAGCCCATCTCGATTTCCATGATCTTTTACTCTCGCCGATATAAGTGAATTGACAATCTGGACATTCAAACTTATATACAATGCCTTTTATTTCAGAATCTAATTGTTTATCTTTAGGTTTCCCAAGTATATCACCCAAATTTTGCATAGGTTTATATGCCGTACGTACGCCAGCAGTGTGTAGGACTCGTTTGATTTGTTCGGATACCCCTCTTACATATGGGATGCTTGTGAAACAAGTGGCATTACTAGATGTAGATGGAGCTTGAGTTGGTTGACTGGAATGGTCAATGAATTTGTTAGGGTAACCATTAAGTATAAGTTCTTTTTTAGCTCGTTCTCGCTCATTTTTTCTATTCAAGGTGGTTGAGGGAATATTATCAGCCCGGTCAAATAGACTTTTGACAACGGCTCGTTTGTTTTGAATAGGATTGTGTGAATTGAATGACAAGTATTTATTTGTATGGGTCTCCTTTCGATATACATCAATATCCACATTACGATCATTGCCGATAATTACCATAGTATCTAAGAAAGGGATTTGCTCTCCACGCTCAGTTGACGAAGACATTTCAATAGTGAATTGAATGTTCTGGTTGATGGAATTCAAGTGAGAGTGGAATGTGTTAACATCACACTTTCTCAAGCATGAGTTAGAATCATCGACATAACGTCGCCACCAACGAACCGGTACTGGCGAAGTATTTATGGCTTTTTCTATCTCCTGCATTACTATTTCTGCGATTACGGCGCTGACGGGAGATCCCATGGCGCATCCAGAGATTTGGTGGTAATACGATCCATTGAATTTAAAATAACTATTGTTTAGCACAAATTTTAGTAACTTGACGATATGTGTTTCTTGCAGGCATGTATATGATTTCCATGTGTCGTTCTCGTGTAGCTTGCGTTGGACTATGTCCAAAGCGAAAGGTACGGGAATTGATGTAAAGAGTGATACGACATCAAACGAAACAATTGTTTCATCAGTTTTGACTATCTTATTTCTGACGAATTCTGCAAACTCAGTACTGTTATTAACCACAAAATCGTTATCCAATCGTAGGTGCTTGAGTATTCTGGCTAGGAATTTGGATAGTTGGTATGTTGGTGAGCCAATGTTACTGTTTATTGGGCGTAAAGGAACCTGACAGTCTGTTTCGTTTTTAAGCGTAAAATGGTCATCGCTGCATGTGAGAGATGCTTTGTGTATTTTGGGTAGACCATAGAATGCATTGAAAGATCTAAAAGCTGATAAGCATTGAAAGCATTGAAATTGAATTAAAGCATTGAAAGATCTAAAAGCTGATAAGACCATTTTAGTAACAAAAGCTGACAAAGGAAATTCCGTTGTTGTAATGAGTAGGGCTGTATATCAGAGTCAAGTGACCAACATGCTTGATGACAAAAATATCTATAAACGTATTACTGATAAGCGAAGGAACCCAACAACCAAAACTGAAATAGACTTGGAAAAACTTTTAAAAGAGCTAAAGCGAGCGGGACATTTGTCCGATAAGGAATATTGGCAGTTAAAACCATTCGACTCCTCTCCCGCTACATTCTATGGTCTACCCAAAATACACAAAGCATCTCTCACATGCAGCGATGACCATTTTACGCTTAAAAACGAAACAGACTGTCAGGTTCCTTTACGCCCAATAAACAGTAACATTGGCTCACCAACATACCAACTATCCAAATTCCTAGCCAGAATACTCAAGCACCTACGATTGGATAACGATTTTGTGGTTAATAACAGTACTGAGTTTGCAGAATTCGTCAGAAATAAGATAGTCAAAACTGATGAAACAATTGTTTCGTTTGATGTCGTATCACTCTTTACATCAATTCCCGTACCTTTCGCTTTGGACATAGTCCAACGCAAGCTACACGAGAACGACACATGGAAATCATATACATGCCTGCAAGAAACACATATCGTCAAGTTACTAAAATTTGTGCTAAACAATAGTTATTTTAAATTCAATGGATCGTATTACCACCAAATCTCTGGATGCGCCATGGGATCTCCCGTCAGCGCCGTAATCGCAGAAATAGTAATGCAGGAGATAGAAAACATAGCCATAAATACTTCGCCAGTACCGGTTCGTTGGTGGCGACGTTATGTCGATGATTCTAACTCATGCTTGAAAGTGTGATGTTAACACATTCCACTCTCACTTGAATTCCATCAACCAGAACATTCAATTCACTATTGAAATGTCTTCGTCAACTGAGCGTGGAGAGCAAATCCCTTTCTTAGATACTATGGTAATTATCGGCAATGATCGTAATGTGGATATTGATGTATATCGAAAGGAGACCCATACAAATAAATACTTGTCATTCAATTCACACAATCCTATTCAAAACAAACGAGCCGTTGTCAAAAGTCTATTTGACCGGGCTGATAATATTCCCTCAACCACCTTGAATAGAAAAAATGAGCGAGAACGAGCTAAAAAAGAACTTATACTTAATGGTTACCCTAACAAATTCATTGACCATTCCAGTCAACCAACTCAAGCTCCATCTACATCTAGTAATGCCACTTGTTTCACAAGCATCCCATATGTAAGAGGGGTATCCGAACAAATCAAACGAGTCCTACACACTGCTGGCGTACGTACGGCATATAAACCTATGCAAAATTTGGGTGATATACTTGGGAAACCTAAAGATAAACAATTAGATTCTGAAATAAAAGGCATTGTATATAAGTTTGAATGTCCAGATTGTCAATTCACTTATATCGGCGAGAGTAAAAGATCATGGAAATCGAGATGGGCTGAGCATAAACCTGGCGTACGACGAGAGATTAAGTCAGCGATTAAAGACCATGCAGAAAGTACCGGTCATGAAGTGTCAATGGAGAATGCTAGGATTTTGGAAAAGAAAGTGCATAACACAAACAAAAGACTCTTCCTTGAGTCATTGCACTCGGTTTTGGACAAAAGATCAGTGAATGAGCATAAACATTTTCCTCAAATTTACATACCAATTATTCAATCATGCAAGGATAGTGACACTATATAATAGTCTGTCTATACTGCTTGAACATTAGAACTCTGATGAAGGTAGCAGTTAGCTACCGAAAATTTAGTACTTTTTAATCTAGAATCTTTTTAATAAATTGTTTTAAACCAGATACAACTCCAAGTAAACATATATATATATATATATATATATATATATATATATTTATATATATATAGATCGCTTCTAAACACAGTGTAGCGATGAAAATATTTTAAGATTATATATATATATATATATATATATATATATATATATATATATATATATATATATATATATATATATATATATATATACACCCATTTGCAAAAACTTCAATCATATTACACAACATATGCAATTCAAATTAGATTTCGAGTATCTATCTATATATCTATCTGCGGCCAACGTTTTTGCAAACGGGTGTATATATATATATATATAACACTCACTTGTATAAGTTTGAGCACTCTGGTGACTTCACTATACAATTCCAACAATGTGTAACCGTACGTCCTGTGTCCCAAGTGCAGGAGTCACCATTGCGCTCTGGTGATAGCCGGGAGGGTACATTGTTTTACACATGTTGTATATTATATATAATATTATATATATATATATATATATATATTATATATATATTATATATACAGTCGTTATCAAAAAGGTTGTCCCGATCAATATATATAGAAATATATAAATATCAATCACGTGACCATTAAACATGGCTTATTTTGATCACTTATCACTTGTTTCTTTATCATTACAATATTGTTCACCTTACTATGACATTTAAGAAATTTTCACGACAGATTACTAACGATTTCTCTTAAAATTAACGTATGTCGTAAAATCACGTGACCGATATTTACGTATCTATATATATTTCCATATGACAACCTTTTTGATAACGATTGTATATATATATATATATATATATATATATATATATATATATATATATATATATATATATATATATATAATTGCAGTAAAGACAGAAAACTAAGGTTGCATAATTACTACAGCGCTGTTTCGAAGGAGCAAGCTCCCTGTCATCAGGTGTATATAAGAATTTATTATTAACAGGCACGCCTTAAATACATCAGAGTCTAATTTACATGATAGATAGAATCTATAAGTTCTTTAGAAGATATTTGCTAGCGTGACGGCATGTGCTTGTAAGTTCGTTCCTTTTGTTAAGTGAGCATAAGTTTGTGTTGCAAATGATGTAGTATTTCTCTAAGAGCAATAAGTTGCAACGCTTCGTGGCGTTTGAATATACGAGGCGGCTCGTGCTATGATCTTCCATCTTACTTTGAATGGTACTCCGTCATCCTTCAAGGACCAGATGAACTTACTAAGCTCGGTTGCGTTCTGTTTGTTCTTGTGCCTAAATGACGCTGTATGATTTCTATATCTAGATTTGAATTCATCACTAGTGAGACCAATATAGGTTTGTTTCTCATTGTTGCTCTCGAGGGTTGCTTGATAGATTATGTTCCTTGTTAGGCATTCGCCGTTTTTATCTCTGGATCTGCAGTTACAGGTTTTTTGCTCTTCTGGTGTAGGGTTGTTTTTTCGCAAGACTAACTTGTTATGGGCGCTGATCTTTTTCTCCAGGCTTAGCATACAGGAGTAGCTGATTTTGAGTGTGTTGCGGTTGAAGATTTTTCTTAGTGGATGTTTCTTTCCAAAAAATGAGTTCACGATGTTTAGGAACTTTTTTCCTATGCCTGTGGCTACATGCTTGCTATAAGGTGGGTTGAACCATGTAATGTTTCTGCGTCGCTCTCTTTTTTTTGTTACGTCTCTCTTTATCTGCGTAGAAGTGTAGTTGGTAATTGTACCCGTTATCATTGAGTGCGTTTTGATAAGTTGGCGCTGCTTGGTCGAACGACGCTTTGTCTGACGATATTTCGTTCAGCCGTCTGTTAATGCTGAGGGGTATGTTCTTAATGAATATCGGCGGGTGGTTACTCTCGCTGTGGACGTACAGAGGCGTGTTGTTAGGCTTTATGTAGGGGTTGTAGGAGCTGTTGCGCAGATCTAGTGTCACGTCAGGGAAGTTAACGGCTTTCTTATTCGCCTCGATAGTTATCTTTAGATTGTTGCTGCTGAAAACGCTGCAGATCTTTTTCTTAATGATTTCTATTTTCCGGGGGGTCTCGTAGAATGCACCCAGCCCATCGTCTCTGTATAGATCTATGTTCCGCCTGATTTTGTCAGGGAGCTGGCATAACAGGTATGTCCCAACAAGTTCGCAATTCTCTGTGCCATCGAAGGAGCCCTCGAAGGATATATATATATATATATATATATATATATATATATATATATATATATATATATATATATATACATATATATATATATATATATATATATATATATATATATATATATATATATATATATATATATATATATATATACATACAGTTGTTATCAAAAAGGTTGTCATATTGAAATATATATAAATACGTAAAGATCAGCCATGTGATTTTACTGCATACGTTAATTTTATGGAAAAGGCTGTGAAAATCTTTATTAAAAATTTCATAAATATAATAGTAAGGTCAACAATATTGATAATAATAATGAAACAAGACAAAAATGAGCGAAATAAACAATGTTTAATGCTCACGTGATTGATATTTATATATTTGTATATATATATATATATATATATATATATATATATATATATATATATATATATATATATATATATATATATATATATATATATATATACAGTAGGAGGCAAAAGTTTGAGTCCAGTGACTGTATTTCTTTGTTTCAGCAGCATATATTAATATTCTACAGAAAACCTTACCGATAAGTGAACTAGAAAAAAGTAAACAAGTAAACAGAAAAATACATGCTGTACAACAACTATGAGATGTTATGATATTCATTTTTACGTATTTTAATGTGCAAACATGCATTTACATGTCATTGCTTAGTTCCCTCTTTTTTGCTCTTGAAATGACCTTTATTCTTGCTCGCATAGATTCCATAGGTTTTTTAATGTCACACGTTCAATACCTTGCCAGCATTCGTTGACCACTTGCCTCAAGTCAGCCTGGCTGGAGGGTCTGTGCCTCGCCCTCTTCCGGTTAAAACGGTTCTACAAGTGCTCCATAGGTTTTAGATCTGGAATATGAGGTGGAAAGCCATGACAACGAGATCACCAGAATGAGTTTGCTTCTAAACGATTTCTGGCACATAGAAGATGTGCATGTGCTTAGGGTGATTATCATGTAGTTAGACGTGCGATCATCTTTGTACCAGATGAAATTCCATGTCCTTGAAGAATTGGATGATACTTTTCTTTAATTAGGATCCTATTATATCTTTCAATATTGCCAAACCGAGCATGACCAAAGCAGCTAAAAGTTTGCTTGAGTAGGATTTAGTTTCTTCGAACCTCTCCAAGGTTAGTTGCATACCACCTTTTTAAATTCTCACTTCTTCTGCGATCTTACGAGGAAAGAATCCTTCAATACTTAATGGAACTATTTGTCCTTGTGCACCATCACTTTGCCCTTTTTCCTACCCATCTTGGGCAGTGTAAAGGAATGAGAACTTTATTTTGTTATAATTTAGATCATTAGGACCAAAACAGTGTGCAATTAATATAGTTTACAGTACTGAAACACTAGCACGCATGTCTTAACTCCAATACGCTGCCAGGATTTAATACTGGAATTCTACAACGACTGGACTCAAACTTTTGCCTCCTACTGTATATATATATATATATATATATATATATATATATATATATATATATATATATATATATTGAATTTACGAGATTTGAGGTCCGTATGGGGAAATATTTCCCGCGGTCTCAAGAACAGTTTTGAGACCGAGGGAAATATTTCCCTATACGGACCGACTAAACTGGTAAATAATAGATTTATTTTTATTTTTACTGGTAAATAATAGATAAATTTTATATCTCTTGATTACAGAAGATATATAATTATACACACGGGTCATAATAGGTATTATAACCTTATTATCACATTGCCAAAATGTCGTCTGAAAAATACTGTCCACATGCAGACGAGCTGACCGCCGTACATACCTTGACATTGAACGACGGAAATCGTCATTCCAAGCAGACATACAAAAATGGGGGTGATCCGGGAGGTCTTCTGTCTTGTAACCTACATCAATTGGCAATTGTCACTTAAGGCCCTGTTAAACGGTGCACTTTTTCTTGCAATTTCCAATGCAATTCTACTTACATAAAGATGTAAATTAGTAAAGAGTCTTGCAGAATAAAAGTGCATGAAGTGTAATAAACACAAAAGTTTCATTGTTCCCAAATATACATCTCTCAAAAGTAGAATTGCATCGCAAGTTGCAAGAAAAATTGCATCGTGTAAAGGCTAATTTCCACTCAGGAAAAATCTCTTTTGGATCGGGACGGACAGGAAAATTTCCTTTGTCGGTGAATTTTCAGGCGGCGTTTATAGAAAGGAAACTTTCCTGTCCTGTCCGATCCAACAGAGAATTTTCCTGAGTGGAAACTAGCCTATTAGGCCTTTACTTCTTTGGCGGATCTTCAGGACTACATTTAATAGTTAAACTGATATGCAGGTTTGTGAAACAGCAAGTTTCCTGTAGTTCATTTTCATCATATAGTTCCCTTCCTAGTTAAAGCATTTTTCTAATAATCTTAATTTCTACTCTCTCAATTTCTAACATGCAAAATAATTCAAGTGCCAAAACTGATACAGGTCATTGTCACAAAGATCTGTTTAAGGTTACTTACAAAACTAAAGTAAGCAAACAAACATTAACATGTAAATGATTATGTCTTGTTTGGTCGCTTGAAACTATGCTTGAAACGGTTGTAGCGAGTGAACGTGAGTGGTCTGAATTTTAAACGTTGTAGCGAATATAGTTATCAAATTTATAGCACGAAATAGCTGTCCCCATGTATGTGTTCAGCCGTCGTTCAGTGGGCAAGAACCCTGGAGGGACGGAAACTTATAAAAGTTTTAGACGTTGCCCACGCGCCCAAATCGTTTTGGCCAAATCGCCCAAATCGAGATAAATATAAACCACACCGGTGGTGTCCTTGAAGCTTTGGCAATCAAACTATCCCTATATAGTATACACAGATTCTTAGCCGCCCTTCTTATTAACTTAGAGTGCCCCTGGAAGATGGTGACCCCCCAATCTCCATGGATGCTTCCGAGTTCCCTGTCTTTACCAAGGCATTTATTTGTAGGTAAAAAATAAGTATATATACCTAACCGTAGCTTTTATCTGCATGAGCGCTTGTCTTAATATACACTTCTCGGGGTAAGAAAAAATAATGCCGGCTTATGCAGGCGTGGCACTCATGAAGTAGAGTTTTTGTGAGTTTGGTTAGTTATAGTAAACCGCGAGGGCAAAATTCCTGGCTGTATATACGTATAGAGAGGGAAACCTAGTTGCAGTTTGCAGAGCGCTATTGTGGGTGAATTACTACTAGTAGCGGAATATTGTAAAGTTGAGATAAATCAGAACGTGCACTTTTAAACGACATGTTTTGGAGAAAAAATATTGAGCTAATATACGGCTTTGTTCTTAACTTACCAGCATAGTATACTCTAAATCCAACAGCACCGCCGCCAACTGCATGATATTGATAATAAATGATAATGATAATAAATGGTGCTGTAATAGATATATATCTGTATATATATATATATAGGCATTCATGCATTCATAATACACCCTATCACCTCTTTTTTGCCATGTTTAAGAGCGTATCAGAAATGAAACAAACGAAGTGCTCCTTCTGGGGGCTGAAAAGAAGATAGTGGGAGCCAATGCATTTACATCATTCCGGTTCAAATTGAGGACTTCAGTTTATTGTTTAACGGTATCTCTGCCCCCAGAACTTTTTCATTTGGCATATCATGTTTAAGCAAACATACTATCATAATTTTAGCGTTAAAACTCGCTTTGAAATAGCTAATTTTCAATGCCGTGACAATGCAAATCCGGTATGGTGGTGCGTATCCATGCACCCTCAAAGGTTATTTTCCACTTACGCATTTCTCCTACGCAAGTACACGCACGTAAAAGCGGTCTAAATCTTTGTACATGTTACCTTTAAAAAAACTAAGTGGATAAATCGAAGGAACTTACGTCACGAAAACATAGCATCCATATCTTCGAGCCAACCGGTGACTAATATATACACACAAAGGCGAGAAGTTAATAAGCCGCGAAAGGCAATTATAAAAGTGAATCTTTATTTTAAATTATAGCTATAGCCTAAACAATAAAGTAGAATAAATTTTACTTATCTAAAGATGTCTTTTAAGGGTTTTGGTTTGTATTCAAACGTTAATTTCGTTTTACAAGTTGTATTTTTACAACAACAACAATGAAAATGGAAATTGGAGGGAGAATTTTTGAAACTCGTAATGGAAAATTCTAGCACTGCACCCCGGATGTAGTGCCGCATGAGTTCTATATAAAATTATAAGTATCGATCATATGAATTTTTTACGAGTGTTTAAGTTTTCAGTAGATTATTCCCTGTCCATATCATAAATAAGGATTTAGACGTTTATATATACCTATATGAAAAACGCCACAATAAAGAGCAGCCCTTTGACTTGATATAAGGAGCTTAGAAGGAAAGGAAATGATTAGAGTGTAGGAATTAAATAGAAGTGAATGCAAACAAGCAGGCTTGTCGTGTTGAACTGATTGGCTCATTGGCAAATTTTTCAGGCTGAGCTAATCAGAATGCCTAAATTTTTAACAATTCGTGTGAAGGGTATATGTATCTTTTTACTAGAAGTAGTCATGCAATGTCAATTCATGCACTCTTATTGGGTATTTAAAAATATAAACAAATTTGCTGACTGGTCTGAACGAAAATTCCTCTTTGTTTCATATTCCTCATTTCAATTTTCTAAGTTGAGTGCAAATAGCTGCATGCATGCACTACATTCCATAAAACGACCACGTTAACGTGTGTTAATCGTTCTTAAATGTGCATTGTCACGAAAGGTGTCATAAATAGAAACATCTGGAGGTTGGTTGGAAGCGTTTTATGACTGGCCGATTTGGGAGTTTCCATGGAGACCAAAATTCTGATCGTTTTGGAGGTTTCGTCTGATCGATCTAGAGGTGTGTCTTTCTGACCTTCTTTTCCGATCATATATTAAAAGAATCACAGAACATGATCGATCAGAGCCAGTGTTTTGCAGTCGAATGTAAAGTTGTTTATAAGGGAATCGAAGCAAGAAAAGAAAAATCGGTAGAGCAGTTTTAATGCCGGCGCTATTCATGACACCAATTAACAATTAGACAACGAGTCCGAGTTGTCGTTGAGCTCATAGACAACGAAGGCGTGTTTTAGTATACAGCCAGCATCTAGATATATTAATTTCGGGAAAATAATCGATACACCGCAATTACACCGAAAAATAATTTCATTAATTCAATTTCATACGGTCGCGCGAGCGAATTTTTCCCAAACGTTCACCATCACGAATAGACAATGGTTGAGTAGCCAATCAGAATGTAGGATTTGTGATAGACAATAGTCGGGTGTATACTAATAACATGTGGTCGAGTAACTTTGCTATCGAGGCTTTCTTAATATACTCGTGTGTTCGACGAATTGAGAAGTGTACTGCAAATATAAGGTATATAAATTATCCAATTTTGATGTATGTAAACTATACTCTGATAATACAATAAGTTCATATAAACAACGGTCCGATAATTTAACTATATTATCGTTAGCTTATATAATTTACCTAGGCTTTGACTTTGCTGTTATTAGCATATTTGCATTCGCCCGTCGCCCGTCAAATCGATTTAGAATTTCGAGCCTATTCATATTCTCATTTGTTGCATTAATACAATAATAATTGTTTATTCCCATGCATTACCCAGATTTTTCTTGCTAGCATTGTATAGATTGTGAGCTAGTGTAATAATCTGTAATTTACATTTTGAAAGATTTAGAAAGCTAGCTATGAATATTCGCGAAATCATAATAATATATAAATATAAAGCAATTTCGCTTAGAACAAATTTAATGACAATGGCAACGTAATAAAGCTGTTTTCTAGACAATATATAAACAATATGAAGACATCTGTCAAAAAAGTTTCAAACTTCTTAAGATATCTGTTCGAAGGGGTAGATTTCTATCATTTTTGAGGTTAGATTGTTATGAAAAACATGGCATTTTATATCAACGTCTCTTTTAAACCTTCCATTTCACTGACTACACAATATTTCACTGACTACGCTGTATATACGCAGATGTCCGCTAGGAATTTCGAAGACTAGCCTGATGGCATTAAGCTTGGAAAGCATAACTAATTTCATAAATCTGGCGATGGAAGGGACGATTGGCAACGAAAATTGACCTACAAAAAAATTCCCAGATCCGCCACTGCTAACGTTTTTTGCCAAATATCGAACTGTATCGTATAGTTCTTGAGGGATAAAGAAAAGCGAAATACAGCGAGGTGTCTGTGGAAAAGCAAGTGGATAATACATACTTTAACAATTTATTCATTACGTAGAATGAAAGATCAGTGCATGATTTCATAATTTCCTTCATTACATGGCTGAGCCTGTATGCATGGACTGTGTTCCAAAAGCTCAAACTCATTGAGTTACACTCGAACTCATTCATTGAGTGGGATATCTCAATCTTCTCATAGATGATCTCACTGTCTTAAAGAAAATCTATGCGGTGCCTCTCACCTACGCGTTATTCATACGCACGCACACACACGTAAATGTCTAAATCCTAATATATGTCATATCTAAAAATGCAATAGGTGAATAAATCGAGAGAACTTAGTTTTCCGCCTGTTTTAGAATGCATTTATTGACCAATGTGTTAATGGACATGGTCTGAAAACTATAGCCGTATAGTGTTTGCATGTTTTTTCTTTTTATATTTCTCTTCATGCCTATAGTTGCCAACGTGTCCAAGTTGAGAATGATGGTCTTAACACCATAAGCATCCTCCGCACAGCAGTTCAACAGCCACGAAATATTTATTAGCAAATTTCAAAAGACTTGTTATCGGTGAGGCATCCTCGACATTTGCCTGACCATATCTTTATTTACTGACAGTCGCTGACAATGACCATGCGAATATACTTGCATG